TAAAGCTACAATAATTAAAATAGAAGCAATTAAAACTGACATAAGAATTGATCAGTGGTGGGGCGCCTGGGTGGCTCAGTTGGTTAGGTGGCTGACTCTTGGTTTTTGGCTCAGGTCATGGTCTCAGGGTCAAGGTCTCTGGGTTGTGGGATCAAGCCCTGCATTGAGCTCCGTGCTCAGTGGGGAGTCTGCTAGAGATTCTCTCCCTCTCCCTCTGCCCCTCCCCCTACTCTTGCACACACTCTCTCTCTAAAATAAACAAATAAATAAATCTTAAATTAAAAAAAAAAATCAGTAGAACACACAAAAAAAGCCCAGAAACCAACCACCATTTATACAGTCATCTGAATGGCAATCTGAATTGCAAAGGTACAAATGTAATGCCATGACATTTTCAACAAATGATGCTGGGATAACTGGATCTCCATATGGAGAAAAAATTTTATATTTTCCCCAAAATATTTTTCACAATTCACAAATAGAGATGGATCATAGACCTAAATATAAAAGCTACAATGATAAAATTTCTAGAAGAAAATATAGAACTGTATCTTCACATCCTAAAGGTAGTCAAAATTTCTTAGACAAGACCCAGAAAGCAGTAACAATTAAAAAAAAAAAAAGATAAATATGACTACACCAAAATATAATACTTTGCTTACCAAAGAGCACTCTGAAAATGATTAGGCAACTACAAAAGACTGATATCTAGAACATAAAAAGGATATAACTCCTGCAACTCAATAATAAAGACAAATAACCCAATTTTAAGTGGTCAAAAATCTGAGCAGGTACTTAAAGGAAGATACACAAATGTGAACAAGCCTAGGAAAGTGTTCCAACATCATTAGTAATCAAGGACTAAAATTAAAACCATAATGACATACCCCTCCATACCCTCCAGAATGGCTAAAAATAAAGACTACAGCACCAAAAGTTGGCAAGGATGTGAAGTAACTGGAATTCTCATACACAGCTGGCTGGAAAAACAATGAAAAAACTATTCAGCTGTAAGCACGTTACCCTGCATGAAAAAAGAATAATGACTTGGGTTCAGAGGGTAGAACAGCAGGCCACAGAGGATTATCCCCAGGCCTTGAACCCTAATGGCTCTTTTTATATTTTGGAGGTCAGTCTTTTGTTAGGTAGGTGTGTTGGTGCTTGCCTATTCATTTTCTTAGAGTTGTCTTTGATGAGAAGTTTTGAATTTGTTGTTATCACATTTGTTTAAGTGGGTATTGCTTTCTAAGTCTTGTCTAAGAAAGCTCTGCACACCCTCAGATGTGTCATGAAGCTATCCTTTTAGATTTTCTTCCAGAAGAATTATGTTTTATAATTTTGGAAATTAAATTGATAATCTCTTTAGAAATTAAACATGCATCTGCCATACGACCCAAGAATTCTTCTGATAGGTATTTTCTTAGAGAAATAAAATCACATAACCAAGAAAAGATTTGTGGGATGGAGACACCTGGGTGGCTCAGTCAGTTAAGCTCCGACTCTTGATCTTGGCTCAGGCCATGATCTCAGGGTTGTGAGACTGAGCCCCCCGCTGGGATCCACATTGAGCTCTGCGCTGGGTATGGAGCCTGCTTAAGATTCTCTCTCTCCATCTCCCTTGCTCCTCCACCACCCTCTCAAAAAAAAAAAAAAAAAAAAAGATGTGTGGGATGGAAAGGGAAAGAGATTGAACCAGGACAGGGGCTATGAGCGAGAAATGGATGATTTTGAGAGATATTAAGAAGGTCAACGAGATTTGTAAAAATGTTTTTATTCTCATCTACTTCCTTCTCACCTAAAAGCATTTCTAATTATAAGCGGAGAGAGGAAGGAAGGAATAAGAAATGAGGCATGTTACATAAGGAAATTTTCCTCTTTTGTCTGACCTTTTCTCATCTGTATTAATGAAAAGACAGGGGGCACCTTGCTGGCTCAGTTGCCTAAGCATCTGCCTTCGGCTCAGGTCATGATCCCAGGGTACTGGGATAGACCCCAGCATTAGGCTCTCTGCTCAGTGGATTGCCTGCTTCTCTCTCTACCACTCCCTCTGCTCTCCGTGAAATAAATAAAATCTTAAAAAAAAAAAGACAGGATAGGCAGGGCATGAAGGGTAGTATCAGTCACCTTAAAAAGTTTGAAACATTAGTTTATAAACCTTGGGACAGCAATGGAAATTTTCAGCTGAGAATAATGAGATTATATTCAGGCATCAGAAGGCTCTTTGTCAACAGTGAATGAGGGAGGGATAAGTTAGGAGTCTGTTCCAACAGTCCAGAGAGAAACTGATAAAGGAAGATGATGGCCATGTGAAGAAAGAATGGACTCTGGATATGTATTACAGGGGGCAGAACTGGCAACTCAGTGACAGGGAAGGATCTGATTGCAAAGATAAAGAACAGCAGGATTAGAGACCAAGTTTTTTTTCTTTTATTTTCGTGTATGTACACGCTGCTGTAACATTTTGTGAAACTTTAAATGTCATCTCCTCTTTGAAGCCTTTTGCAGGTTACACTCTAAATAGAATCAATCCTATGCTCTCTAGCATTTTAGACATACATCAAAACACACATTCCAAAAAAAAAAAAGGCACATACTACACTCTAATCCACACTCAGCCATTCAAGAACAGAAAGGCCGTATACTAATTACTGAATCTCCAGCACTTAACATAGTCCTGACCCAGCACTAGTAAAAGGAGCATTTTACTTTTATTTTAGCTTCTCTTCACTTTAAAACTGCCAGTATGGTATTAAAAACGAATGCCTTGAGTGGAAAAATGTTAGAAGTTACAGAGATAGAAGAATATCCACCCTAGGCTTTCTGTCCTTGAATAATTACATTGGTTATACAGTCAATTCTCATTCATGGTAGTTCTGTGAAGTCATCATGAACACTGAATTATCAATTACTGAACCATTTGCTCTGAGGAGAAACACAGGGTTAGGTCCTTGTGAGCCTCTGGTCACATTTTCTTAAACTAGTCAATACAGAATCTTGTTTTATGTGTGTTTCCACTGAAAGATACCTCACTCAATATATATTAACTCACTAATGGACCTCACAGCCAGAAGCATGTAACTCATACCTGAACAATGCTTATCTAAAAGAAGCTTTCTTTTCTTTGTAAGAGACATCACAGCCTTCTTGCACTTGTAATGCTAGACAGCACTTCGGCCACATGCTTGGAAGCCATTCCAAACTGCGAAATCACTAACAAAAAGTACAAAAATGAGAAAAATGTGACACTAAATATATCTCAAAGCACTATGAGTGTTGATTTAGGGGTTACAAAAATTTATGGATAGGTACAGTCCCAAATAAAGAATCTATGAATAGGGGCACCTGGGTGGCTCAGTGGGTTAAGCCTCTACCTTCGACTTAGGTCATGATCTCAGGGTCCTGGGATGGAGCCACAACATCACGCTCTCTGCTCAGTGGGGAGCCTGCTTCCCCCTCTGTCTCTGCCTGCCTCTCTGCCTACTTGTGATCTGTCAAATAAATGAATAAAATCTTAAAAAAAAAAAAAATAAGAGTCTATGAATAATGAGGATCAACGACAGGTTTTTTTGTTTGGTTTTGAGATAAAACCACTCTCCCACAGTTCTATCAGCTACATTTTTCATTCACTCATCCACCTACACCCAGTTTGTATCACAAGGTCATGGCACACATCATGCAGCAACACATATATTTCTCTGCTAGTTACCACTACAATTAGTGGTTTAAGAAAGGACTTTAAAAGACAACTTTCCCTAAAAGATACCAGACCTGAGGCCACTAAAATACCTGAGCCAGTCCCAGAGTTAAACGCTGGCTTAGGAGAATTACATTTAAAAACGTGCCTCAGGGGACGCCTGGGTGGCTCAGTTGGTTAAGCAGCTGCCTTCAGCTCAGGTCATGATCCCAGCGTCCTGGGATGGAGTCCCACATCGGGCTCCTTGCTCATCAGGGAGCCTGCTTCTCCCTCTGCCTGCCATTCTGTCTGCCTGTGCTTGCTCTCTCTCCCTCTCTCTGACAAATAAATAAATAAAATCTTAAAAAAAAAAAAAAAAACGTGCCTCAGACTGTGAGTTCTGTGAAGGAATAGATCTTAATAGGTCTAGGAAGACGAAAGTAGAAACAACCCAAATGTTCATCAACTAATGTAGAAACAAAATGTGGTATATCCCTACAAGGGATTATTACTATTATTCAGCCATAAAAAGGAGTGAAGTATTGACAATGCTACAATAGGCATGAAACTTGAAAACGTTACGCTTGGTGAAAATGTGCCCAACACACAAAAACTGTAGGATTCCACTTACCCGAAATATCTAGAATTGGCAAATTCAGAGGCAAAAAGCAGATTAGCGGGGTGGGGATGGGGGCAAATGAGAAGTGCCTGCTAAAGAGTTGTGGGTTTCTGTTCAGGGTGATAAAAATGTTATGGGACTAGATAATGGTGATGGTTGCACAACCTTGTAAATATACTAAGCCCACGGAACTGTTTAAATGGATATATTTAATTGTACATGAATTGCATCTCTATTAAAAAAAAAAAAAAAAACAACCTAAGAAGGCTAACTATGCGGCTAAACACCAATGTCAGATTCCTTTAGATGAATAATTCCTTCCCAACTGCGGCCACTCCTCTCGACTCCGCCTAGCTACGGACACAAACTTCAGCACCCTTCACTCCTGTCAACAGGCAGCATTGGGGAGGTCTCACGCCCGTGCACGAGACTGCCACAATTAACAATACGCCGCCTGCACCCCATCGTGGAGTCTCGGGGTGTTGGTCCAAGTCTCCTGTACCCCTATCCCTCTTAACCAAACTCTCAGTAAGCCCTGACCCTGAACTCCTACTGTTCTAACTAGTACAGGCCCCGGACTCGGGACCACGGTGCTGGAGCCCTCAGGATGACCTCAACCGCCTTCCCAATCTGCGCCGCCCACACTCCACAACCCCCGGCCGGAACCACCCCAATTGGGCCGTCCTCCCTCCCTTCCTCTCCACTTACGCGCCTCTGGCAGCGCGCGGTGCACGCAGGGAGCTCGGTCTAGGCTAAATGCAAGGGGAAGGGAGCTTAGATAGAGCCGCGCAGAGGAGACTGGGAAAGACCTGCAAGAGAACTCTGGGAAGAAGGTCCAAATCGAGTGCTGGGGCGGGCGAGGAGGACAGGAGGAGGAGCTAAAAATTAAGTCAAGGGACAAGAGGAGGAGCTAAAAATTAAGTCAAGGGACAAGAGCCGCAAGGCAATCTGCCGAAAGCCGTAAAGCAACCTGGCAGCGCGATGCTGACTACGACGTGCCAAGGCCAAATTCTCCGAGTCACTCCCACAGCCTCCATCTCCCCCAAACTCCCTTTACTTTTGCGGCCGCCCAGGTCTCTGCTGCCCCCTGGCGGACTCGGCGAGCTAACGAGGAGCATTTCGGCGCCTTACTGAGAGATCTCACAAACCCAGTCCCCAGATAGAATGAAGCAATGGGGTGGGTAGAACTTCTCGGATCCGTCCGTGCACGCGAGAGATACTGCAGGAAAAGAAAAACATGATTTTAAGCCTCCTTTGAATGGTCATCACAGTCCTTTACAGATTCCACCTCAGGCAGGCTCAGCAAACCGAGGTAGTGTGGACACATTTGCTCATTAAGCCCTCTTCCTCTCCCGCTACTGCCGCTCGCACGCACACACAAACACACACTCATCACCTGATGGCTTCTTAAATTAGCTGGGACCGGAGGGAAATGAGAGTGTGGCGGCAAGTAGGAAGGGAGTTCTTTAGAATGGCCCTTGGAACTGTGCCTTGCAACTGGGTGATGACTGCACACCCTATTAGCAGTGTTCAAAAACAAGATTAAAATGTTTAGTCATCACAACCCCTCTTAAGTACTTAAGAACTCCAACAAAATCATTCTCTTACGTTTCCAAATTGGTGGTTTCAATACACCCCTTTAACCAGACCGTTCATTATCTGAGCAGCAATACTCCAGAACAAGTCATTTCCTGGATGACTACTCACTCTTCCCAGTAACACCATTGGAAGCTGAGTAAAAAGCCTAAATCAGATCCAAAGCATGAACAATTTATTTGGTAAAGGTAGCATTTCAAATCAACCAAGAAAGGAATGGTTTACTTTTAAAATGGTGTTGGGATGATTAGTTAACCATTTTGGTTGATTCCTTATCAAAACATACACTAAAATTACAGTTGAATTCAAGAGTGAAATGGTAAACAAAGATATACATAAAACAAAATAAAAGATACACAGATGAGTATCCCTCAGAATGGAGGACTTTCTAAGTAAAAAAATGAGACATAAATCGTAAAGTAAAAGAGGGACAAAATGTAACTATCTACATAAAACTTTGAACTTCTGGAAGTTGAAAATAAAGTAAACTTTAGAAGTAAACATGAAAAAGGGGGAGAATCATGAATGGTAAAGAGAGCTTGTGTATAAAAAGTTCTAACAAGAATAACAGACCAATGGTATGAGTAGATATTTCACAAAAGGATAATACAATAAATATGAAAAAAGTTTTAATTTTAATAAAAGTAAAAAACACGCATATTAAAATAAGTGTATCGTTTCACTCACTTCTGTGTTAATTTAGGAAATTAAAATAATTTATATAAATATTATATGATCACATTCTTATTGAAAAATCCAAACAATAAAAGTAAAAACAACATTTTATTTGACCACTCATACATCAGAACCAGTCCTATTCTCAGAGTTAACCATTGTTGTCAGTTATGTATATTCTTGCTGACCTTTTATTTATGATCATACATTAAAATAATGTTGTCTGAAGGATGCCTAACTGGCTCAATTGGTGAAGCATGGGGCTCTTGATCTCGGGATCATATAAATTAAAGTCCCATGTTGGGTGAAGAGCTCACTTTAAAATAATTAATTAATATTGTCTGATAATACTCAGTGCAGATGATACTCTTACACTGCTAGTAGGAATATAAACTGATGCAACCTTTTAGGAAAGAAATCTGACAATATATATTAAAATTACATATGCTTCAGGCATGCCTGAGTGGCTCAGTTGGTTGATAGTCTGTCTTCTACTCAGATCATGATCCCAGATCCCTGGGATAAAGTCCCACATCCAACTCTCCGCTCAGCAGGAAGCTGCCTTCTCCCTCTCCCTCCACCTCTTCCCTTGGCTTGTTCTCTCTCTTTCTCTAAAAGAAATAAGTAAAATCTTTAAAAA